CCTTAAACCTGCGCTGATGTGGTGGTGAGTGTGGAAAGGTCTGTCACCTACAGCTGAGCCTTGAGTATCACAGGCTTGAACTGCCCTGTCCCACTTACATGTAGACTTCAAATTCACAGATTCAACTAACACTACAGGCTGATTGGTTGAATTCAGGAACGGGGGACTTAGAATACCAGGCCCATTATAAGGGACTTGGGCATCCTCAGGGGGCTGGAAACTGATCCTCTGAGGATACCAAAGGATGGCTGTAGTAGTTTTGGAGAATCAAGTTATCTATGGACTTAATAGCAATGTATGTGTGTGTGTGTGTGTGTGTGTGTGTGTGTGTTTTGGGGGTGGGGTGGGGTGGGTAAGTCAGCTCTCCTAACTCCTATATTGTTCAAAGGTCAACTGTATTGCCAAGTTGGAAGACATGGTATATACATCTGTAACACCAAGTAACAGCACTTACAGGGAAAAACCTCTGTCCCATCACACACATGCACACACTACAGAGAAATGGGAAAATGGGAATGGGAAAATGCAAACTTCTGTTTTGAAACACAATGGGGGGTAGAATAACCTACTGCTTTGCACCAATAGATACCAGTTTAAATTCTGCACATCTCTTAATTTTCCCAGCACCTACTGCAAAGTAGAAGTGGCAAATTGCCTTATTCAGGAGTTTGTGACCTATAACCCCAAACCAGACTTTAATTTCTGACCCATCACACAGCACAGGGCCCCCCAACTCAGCTGGCTTTTCCCAACGCAGCTGCCATCAGTTTACACACAGGGCTTCAGGTCCCCAGTAACCCCATCAGCTCTAAACAGGCACTGAAGACAAGTCCTTTCTGCTAGAGTCAAAGCAGACTTTCCATCGTTCTTAAAATTCAGATGATGAGACAGTGTTAGATGGTGGAGTCTATAGAATCACTAATCAATACAGTGCAGAGCTGGCTCCTAATACACCCAGGTGCTGAGTCATATCTGACTACGTGGGCAGAAAAATCTGCAGTCTCGCCAGCCGCTTCAGAACTTTAAAGAGTGCTTTGCTTTTAAGTACACTACACAAAATTCTCTTCAAGAATTCACAGGTCCTACACACTGGTCATACTTTATGACTGATTAAAGCAGAGGTGCGGGAATGTATGTATTCATGTAACATTTCGGCTGTTTCTCCACTATTTTGTGAGACAAATCACAAACAGCTCACCAAAAAACTAGTTGAAAGTTTTATTTATATAAAATTCATTAGGAACATAAAAGATTGAGTTTCTTAAAAAAAATCTGCAGTTATTTACAGCAGTATTGCACAAGTAAAGTGGCAATTACCCTGTCAAATTTCATCAGTGCAAAACACAAGTAAGCCAGGGAAATTGCAATACACATGCTACATACGCTGGGTTCTAAGAAACAAGTTAGTGATGAATCCGTACAGACAGATCAGTGCTATTTATAAATGGGTACCTGATGGCTCTGATACAGTAACTAGTGGTCACAGAACCTGGACAGAACAACTTAACAGAGCTTCTAAAGTTGGAAATTCCCAAATAAAAGTAGTCAAGTTACTTAGCTGGGAGCTTGAGGCGGCTTCTTGCACACAAGGCCCTTAGGAGTAGAACGGGAGTTACCCCGGCTGCTTTAGCGTCACGTGGCCACACCCCGCACACAGCCGTGCACTGAGCGGACACACACAGGCACCAGGCTAAACCAGCAGGGATGACACACCATCTACACGGAACCATTCGGAAGTCTCGCCAAAGCTTCCGTGAGCTTTCACATCTTAACACCGAATCCAGTGGGGGCCCCGACCTCGCAAAGGCGATGGAGAAGCAGGAGGAGGCCGTCAACCTCTGGAAGTAGACTGATGGAATGCAGGGACCAAACAGCTCAGGGCTGGGGACTGTACAATCAGCTCCTGAAGACAACCTAGTACTCGCCTCAAAGCACAGGAAGCCACACAGAGGGAGGGGAAATTCAACTACTCACCAGTTGCCAACAAGGGGCTAGTGGCGTGAGGCGATCCTGAAGTGGCTGTCCAGGCAGGAGCGCCCAGCCCCACCTACGCCCTGCCTGGCCCTTGCCCTGAACAACCTCACAGCACACCTCCAGAAGGGGCATGTTTCTATTCTTCTCAACACTGAGTTCCCAGGGATGACTTCTCAATGGAAAAATCTTTCCCAACTACTGCTAATACATGATTTTTTAAAAAAAGATACGGTCTAGCATTAACAGAATTTGCTTCTTTGAGAAGCTAGCTGCTTTGGAACAGAGTCACTGGGTATTTCTTGGAGTAGAATTTTGTAGCCTTCCAGATTTAGTTTCTCATTGGAGTCGAGATACAAGCTTCATCACGTGAACAGCTATGTCCAAGAATTTAATCCCGCTGACCAGAAATACCAGGAACTAAAGCTGGAGGGCCACCCTGGGAAGATCACGTGGCCTGCAGGGAGCTGACCAGTGACCATCTCAGAGTAAAAGCAATTAATGGAACAGCGGAATGGGGGTGGAGGGGTGAGGGCAGGGAGGTCAACACTTTTAGAACTTAAGACATTAAATAAGCAGGAAATAAATATACAATATTTCTACAAGTTACAGCATTATGAAACAGTAGGACACATTACACTGAAAAAAGAATCTACAATATTTACAATCCTTGATTCTGAAAAAAGTTTAGAAAAACAGTGATTTTTACTCATTTTGCTGTACAAAATTTTACAAGAAAGGTAAAGGAAACACAATTGCACACAGACATTTGGCTCAGTTGATAAGGAAAATATGATCTCCTAATCTAATAAATAGTTAAAATATATACAACAATATTAAGAAGAGGGGAAAAAAGAGAAAATTGTATTCTGTTAGGTACTATTTTTTTTTAATCAGAAGGAATTTTTACCAGATTTTTCTGCAACCAAAAAATTTCTTCATAAACTTACGTTTAGGCAAGAGTACAGGTAATTTGAAGAATCACTCATGAAGTTATTTTGTGTGTGTTTATTGCATTTCTGTGACAAGTCACAGGACACTTTCTACAAACCTCAAGTGAGAAGAGGTGGTCAAAGGCACAAAACCCGCATTAAGTATTCAAAAAGGGAACTAGTTGGTTTTTCTTCTACAAAAAATAAAAGACATAAAAAATAAAAAGTAAAAGGTATACCCCAGTCGGTATACTTTCTGCAGGGAGGCATCTTGATAAACAGATACATACAGTACAGAGACATCCAGTCATCTCTCTCAAGTCCTGGTGCAACATCCTGTTCTTTAATACTTCTACAGTTCATAGAATCTCTAATTTCCTCACGAGCTGCTTCCATGGCCAGCCTGCATGCCCAGGGACTGCCAAGCCAGAGGTAAACTTTCGGATGTGGCGGGCACAAGAGCGCATGGGGCTGCACCGTGCTGCTCTCAGGGAGCCGCGGTATCGAAGAAACAGAGTAAAGTGCTCCAGTCAGAGAGACTGGCACAGAGGGTGGAGATCCTGGGAGGGTGGGACCCAGAACCAAATACGTCTTTGGTGTGTGTCCAGCAGGTCCACGGCCGCAGTTCTACCACCACCTCACAACCGCGTGGACTTTCTGACCCCACAAAGGGGTTCAAGACACGTCAAGAACACAAGCTGAAACTCAACACAGCTTTAAAAATATTCAAGACCCCACGAAGATATTTGGGGAAAAGAAATTTTTAAGAAAGAATATTTGGAATCAAATCTCTCTACCTACAGGAAAGAGTGTATATGCAATATATATATTTATATAAAAGTATGAAGATACAAGTGAATGGATTTTCCCATTAATTTAATAATGTGAAAACACAGGTCCTTCATGGGCCAAAAGCAAATACAATTGTTGGCACTGTTGACTCATTTGAAAAATCACGTATTTCTTGTAAAAAGTATTTTAACGGTCTGAGGTTTCAAAAAGCTTGAGTTACAGGGTTCAAAGAATGAGCTCTACCTCCCTTTTTTCACTGTTCTCTCGTCTGTCTCTTCCTTGCATCTCCCTAGCTACTTAACTGCCTTTGAAATGACAGACCGACTTGTGGGTTTCCCAACTACTGCAATCCTTGTGGGTAGGTGTAAGGACCTCAAAGAGGCGGATGACAAAACCCACCATCCCAAGAGAAAAGGAACAAGTACCACAGGCATCTTTCAGAAGGCCGCGGGGCCATTTCACTTGTGCTCCATGGAGCATTTTAACGGCACCATTGAAAGCAGAAGTAAGCCTGAATTTCAAACTGGATTGAGAGGACTGGGAACCGCGTGGCAGGCATGAAGGGAAGTCTGAGCTGGATGAAAGGCCAGGCTGCCCAGGGGTCATCTGTGGAAAGGCCCGCCCAAGGCCAAGCTGAGGCCCAGGAGGACTCGAACTCATACCTGTGGCCAAGCCAGGCTGTGGCTGGACTCCTGGAACCTGTGTGGCACACGTGCCCTGTGGGCGGGGAGAGCCTGCAACCAGCAACACCAACAGTGCAAAGGACAGAATACTGGGCGCCGTTCCTGCTAGACCCCCTTTGAACACTGGACAAGCCCATCAAAACCAAATGGGAACTGATATGAGTACTGCCCAGCTGGTCAGTTACAGCAGACAGGCTGATGAGCCGTGATGACACAGGCAGACGTGACTCGCTTTTAACCCAGTAAGTTCCCTTTCCTCATGAAACTACCGTGGACCAAATTTGTGCATCAGTGTCCAGACAGGCCAGAGGGGGTATCCAGAAGGACAGAAGGAAAAACATACAGAGTCTGAAATTTTGCCACAGATGCAACTGAATTTAAGGAGGTAAGTAAATATTTACAAAATGGGAGTGGCACATTGATACCGGCTAACAGACCTTTTGCCCCTTTCATTTCATAAGTATTTTTTTGGTATTAATAATAAGCTCTTTAAAAAAAAGGTCAAAGAGGCAATGGCAGGGAAAGGAGGGGGCCATGTCATACCTCTCCCATTTAAAAATTCTGTACAGTAACCCCTAAAAATAAACTAAGGCAGCTTTATAAATTAGCTGGCTCAGTTTTCACTGCAGAGTTTACATAATCCTCTGAGAGTAGGCATTCGGTTCTTAAAATTTTAGTACAAAAATTATTCACAAGTTGGTTAAAAAGTTTCCATTTCCTTTCTGAAAAACCTGTTCTTATTAAAGAAGCTGGAAAAAAAAAAAAAAACCACCGCATCACATGTAAACAGCATTCTTGCATAAAATCCTGCTCCAAAGAACCATGATTTGTACATTTTTAAAAAAGAAGAATCCTCTCTCGTTTACATTCACAACAAACTTCCGTAAGAAATTCTGCCACGTGGTGATGAACAGGAAGGTCAAGTCCACGTGTTCTGGGTTTCTGGGTGTTTTCAGGAACCGTCAGCCGGCTGCACAGCAATGGCACCGAACAGTCGTGGTGCTGGGCCTGTTGGCTTGAACAAGCGAAATGTCTGCACACATCTCAACTCCACAAGGAACTTGCTGTCACTGCATCCTCCACACCAGACGGACGATGTAACGTAGCAGTCGTAAGAGAATCATCTGGGGGTGGGCCTCGGCTGCTTGGTAATTATTCAGAAAGACCTGAAACAATGAAAGGAAAGAGTCTTAGCTTGTCAACCGTCAGCCTCCCAGGGGCCAGGGCGTAAAGGAGTGACAAATCCCATCTTAAAAGCCGTGGTAGCTACTCCTGAAGGACACTGTCACCAAAGCCCCAGGTCTTCGTGAGACGACAAGACTCCAGAGGAAGCACCGCTGCATAAAAGCAGGCACACATAATTATTTTCTTCTCAGAAGGGCACAACCAAAAGAATGGCTGAGAACTTCAAAGTGAGTCCCAGAATCCTGGTCTGCCTCTCTTACTACCCTGCTATTTTTGCTTTTTTTATTTATTTTAATTTAGTCATTTATGCATACAGAACTGGGGTACAGGTCAGAGGTGCAGGGACGGTGAGAGGATTCACCAGAGACAGAGTGGGGAGCAGAACAGGCCGACTGACAAAGTACACTACTGAGAGGAGCAGCGGGCGGGTCAGGAGAGGTCTGCCGCGCCATGTGGTCACCTCCCGGATGGGCGGGGATTGAACTCATGCCGAAGTGGCTTTGGCTTCTCAGTGCTGTGCTTTAACCCGCTGCGCCACCAGGGAGGGCCTATTTTTGCTTTTTACAGGCGATGCCATCAGTGCCTTGACCCGGAAGTGCACTGAGCACTAGAAGACAAATCATCCCCCACCTCTGTTCAGGTGGCTGAAAAAAAGCCACCGAAGAAGTCGCTGAAGTTAGTGTCCTGTGAAAAGAGGCAGAGCCGAGGGGCAGGACTAGTGTCCTGTGAAAAGAGGCAGAGCCGAGGGGCAGGACTGAACTGGGTACATGCCCAGTGTCTTACTGCTGAAATTATTGACATGCAAATACGCTGCAGACTACCCCAAGGGTGATTTCTGGTAGCTGTAATTTACTTGAGAAACTAGTGATTTGGAGTAATTTGCCCTAAGAAGCTAAATAAAGTGGTGCACTGATGCGCCAGCGTGCCTCTGGCGGCCGGTGGGCGTCCCTGCGGGATAGACACTGTTGGCTCTGCACTCTGCCCACGGTCACAAACCAGGCCCGGTGGTCAGCCCCAACCCCACCCCGCACTGGGAGCAAAGAGCAATTAAAACAAAAAAGGCCTCCCTGCCAGGGAACACCCTATGTTTATGACAAGCTCAGAAATCGTTCAAAAGGAAACTGCCACATTACTCCGTGTTCCCAGAGGCCTGTGGGTCGTCTGGAGTGCCACTTCCAGTCCCATTCCATTTTTCCGGTGAGTCCGTGGAGCCAGGTATATATTCAGAGTGGCCAAAAGTGGCAGCGAAGCACATCTGCTCCCACACCAGGAGCTAGTGCCTGTCATGCGGTTCAGGTCTGAAAAATACCTGCTGGCTGGTTTGCCTTAATGTAACCCACAGCCAGGACCAACTCTGCTGCGGGGAGCTCCTCAGACACCCCTTTATTGCTCCGGTGGCGGGGGACCACCGGGCATGGTCCGGCTGAGAACTGGTGCCAGATTCCCCTCTCAACCCAGCCGGCCCACGGACAGCAGTTCGAGTGGGCTCTGTTCTTGCGACTGTTTATGCAGGCTCTCGAGCACTGGCTTGACAGATGGGATTGTGATAAGGCAGAGCATTTCCCTTGCTCCTTCCATAACCAGGCCGGAGGAAATCAGCTCTGTGCAAGCGATTCCTGTGGAGGCACTCCGTAACCACAGTCTGTGATTTTTATCTGTTCTGCACACAAGATTGCTTTGTTTTGATTTAACTTTCAAAATTACTTTGCTTCTTCTGTATGAGAATAATTTAGGGGAAGGTTAATTTTAGTTTAGACTAATATTAATAGGCTGAAGGTTGAAAGAGGCTTATTCAAAATAAAACCACGACTTACTAAAATGAAGAAAGCGTGTGCAGGGCAAGGTTGAGCAATGGCTTCCAGGTAGGAAATCTCATGCTAGCCAGGTGCCACCTTCGGGCTCAGCGAGGTCAGAGAACGGAGTGAAACTGACCCCAGTGAGGGGAAACCCACCGGTCCTTCAGGGGCAGCAGGAAGACTATGGACGTGGTCACGGTGAAACCACATCACGAGCCATCTCCCATGTTTTTGAGAATTCTGGTTACATCTCAGATGAAGCTGGGGGGGGGGATGGGGGAAATTGTGGCAGGGGCATCCAAGTCCCACCGAGCGAGCTGATGCACAGCCTCTCCGCCAGTGAGGCCGGCAGGACGCCTGCCCTCCCAGACAGCACGTGCGACAACACGGCACACGCTCTCAAGCCAGCGAACAATTGCTTTTGGACAACATTCAATGGAGGAAGCCATTACCACCGATTCCAAAAGCTGTGCCAGCCCAGAAAACCCTTGACAGCTGGCACAGCAGGCTGAAGCGGCTGCTGGCTTGAAACACAGGCCCACACCTCACCAACAGCTGGAGAGGAGCACTCAGCTTCCGGTAAACTCACGGCCTCCCCACCTGCAGTCATACAAATGAGCCTGGGTGCAAGCTGGGGGCACAGAGCGTGGCTGTGACCGTGACACTAACACGGGCAGGTGACCCAAGAGCTGGGGATGGTTCCGCCCTCCGGCCGTCGGCACCCTGCACATGGCCTCCGCCCAGTCAGCGCAGCCCTCAGACTCGGGGCCTCCAGGACTGTGAGGAGTGCACGTGGACTGTTCAAGCACCTGTTCACCTCTCCTGCTTGATGCTCACCCTTGGTCCTTAATTCTTAAGAGTGAAAAAACAGTACTTCGTGGAGTTGAACGATGCTGTTTTAGTCTAAGTCATGAAAGCACTTCAAAAAGATCACAAAGATCCATATGGGTCAGCCTATTTAAAAAAACTAAATACACCACTAAGTATAAACTATGTATTACAGCTGCCTTGTTAGCTCTTGCACACATATATACAAAATTCACAAGTGTCCTGAGTACAGAAACCCATCCTGCTAGCTAGTTTTATCTCCATATTCTAGATCAGGAATGGGGTTCTTTGGGGTGACTTTCACAACCATCCACAAGTCCAAAGGGACAGTCAGTTTTGTGTTTCCCTCCAGGAACCAATTCCCGAGAGCCCATACTCTCCTTTGGGGAGGGGTGCCTGCAGCCCCCACCTGCCTGCATCAAGGGTGCGGGTAGAGGTGTGACCTGGAAGCACATGTCTGCGGCTGCAACATCTGATGAGCATCACCTGTGTCACCGGCAGCACCTACAGAAGAGGAACCCACAAGCCCACCCTAAGGGGCCTGGAGGTGCTGCCCTCAGTGAGCACAGCCTGGGAGGAAGCCAGGGTGCTGCTGGAGTCTGCACGCATGCACAATCCCACCTCCCACAAAGAGGGGAACCGGCCAGTGAAATCCAAGGCTCACCGACATGGAGCCAGACACGCAGGGGTGTTCCTGTCTGCAGAAGCTGTGACGGCACTTCCTTCCGGGGACTGCCACTCTGGTAGGGACAGAGCCACAAACAAGGTAGCTGACTGGACAATATGTAAGTAAATAGAATGAAGAAGAAGCAACTGCCAGAGAGCTGGGGCAGGAAGGCACTGAGCTACCCCTGCACACCAGGCCTGGGAGCAAGAAGAGCCGGAGGCAACAAGGTTCCAGGGCGGGAGGCTGGTGTGTGGATGGGCACCACCCTAGAGAACGAGCATCAGTCTCCAAAGTCTCATTTCAGATGGTGAATGAGTATGCGGTTTCTCATAAGCCATCCTGAGAAACGGTGCCAAACTCTATGACCAGTCCTCTAAACAAGAGTTCCTGAGGGCCCTCCATGATGGTGCAATGGGCTAAAACAGCGCTGCGAAGCCATCCTCAGCCTCTGCAGCACGAGTCCTATCCCCCACAGGGAGCTGACCACATGGCACAGCAGACCTCTCCTTGTCTCTTCCACTGCTCCCCTCAGCAGCGTATTCCCGTGGATCTGCCTATTCTGCTCCCTACTCTGTCTCTGGTGAATCCCTCCTGGCCTATGCCCCAGTTCTTATATGCATAAATAAGTAAATCTTTAAAAAATAGAGTTCCTGAAAAGTGGAAAATGTGGGATATTCTGGTGGTTCATGTATCTCTGGTACAGACAGTGACACACTTCTCTGAAGTTGTAAAAATGCCCATGGAGACAATGTCAAGAGCAACTGAGCAGGGGATGCTGCAAAAGTTTTCTGCACACCCACACGACACTGGAGGGCACTTGAGTTACAGCTGGGGGTGGGGGGAGTTTACTACCCCAGACAGTGGCTATAGCAGCTGGACCACGTAGCAGGTAACCATGGAAGCAGTTACCACCATCTTCATTTAGGACAACCAATCAAGTATCAGGGATTTAATTAAATTTTAATACCCAAATCATCACAGCACAATGTGCTCTCTTGCCCAAGCAAGGAAAACACATGCAGGACACAAACATGCCCTTGACTCCAAGTTGTCCTGGGAACTGGTGGAGGTGCCCACTCACACTTGCAGGACCCACTCTGGACACAAGAGATGCCCAAGACCTGGGGGCTTCAGGCTCTTGGCACCCGAGCTGGGGGACAAGCAGAACTGTCACCAGTAAACAGGATAACTTGGTCCACACCTTCACAGTCTTCACAACAACCCCAGGCAACCCCACGCCACAGGTGAATCACGGACTGAGCGTACAGGGGAGAACTCACTCCAGGTTCAGGGAAGTGAGGCGCAGTGCCTGCTGGGTGGGGCCTGCTCCCAGAGGGGCATCTTCTGACCAGTACCACCACTGCCAGCATCAAAGGTAACCAGGTGGGGCCTGAGGTTCTAACTGATTCTGAGAAAACAACACCGTTTCTCTGACCCATTCATCACCCGTGCACGTGAACGGTATTTTAAATGGTGAGAGACAGAGGTGGCGAGGAAGAGGACCCTCGCATGCTAAGCACAAAGTCCCTAGGAAGAGCCGACCTGTCTCCACTGTCAGACCAAGAGTCACAAGCACTTCTGTTTGGATTCTAGGGTGTGTTCTACAGTCTCAGCTCTTTCAGGTGTCGCTCGCTCGGCTGCTGCCGCCTTGATGCAACCCAAATACCAAATTCACTTTCCATCTGTCACC